CACACACACACACACACACACACACACACACACACACACACACACACACACACACACACACACACACACACACACACGCAAGCACGCGCGATCGCGCGCGCGAATTCATGCAGCCCCAAACTTGCTTTCAGCACACGTCAGTACAGCAGCTGCTGAGCTGAATTGCTTGGTGTGGGCTCGCACATACAGGACTTTGCCAGGAGAGTCTCTCTGCCAATGTAGTTTTCTTTTGCCCGACCAGCTGAGCGAAGAAACAGCAGAGAGGCTGGCTTACACCAAGGCAAATATGTCTGCCAGCTGGTTAAGCAACTGAGCAACAGCACACTGGAGTGCAGCCAAGTATATAAGTTCACATGGACTGGACAGCTAGAGGGAGGCAGAGAACCTCTTACCCCTAGGCAGGGTATATAAAGGCAGGGTACATAACGTTAAAAAATCAGTTTCCAACCTGGGAAATTCTCAACTTTGCTTTTTCAGACACAACTTTGGGGGATATCTTTTTACAGAGTAATACACCCACCATGAAGTGTTAGAGTCAGATGTCTCATCCCTTGGGTACACCTGCAATCCTATCACGTTATGTCTATAACCTTTTATGGTATATCTTGATATATAACGTTACAGACTTATATTTTTTCAGGAGATACGGTATATGCCGACCCCTAACCTTCAGCCTACAAGAGACTTGGCAGCTCCCATTGTATCTGGGGTCGCAACCAAGGTATGCCTATGCTTTCCTACATGCTACATATAGGTACTTGAAAGTTTTCTATTAAATTTACGAGTATGTGAGAGAAGTAAAGGGTTCAGTTTCATATTTCTTGTGGCGCTTGGGAGGCTCCAGGGACTTTCGTAACAGTAACAAGTCCATTCATGTTGAGAAACTCCTGGTACCCAGACCCCTGGGTAAAAGTTTAGAGCCGAGCGCTCCGCTGTGCCTTGGACCATGGGGCTCTTCTTTTCTTGTTTCTGGCAGCGGCTTGTCACACTGCTAATCATCGTTGACAACAATGAAAAGCAGCAACAGCAGCAGCAGCAGCAGCAGCGGCGGCAGCAGCAAGTAGCAGCAAGAACCAGCACCTTGTGTGTGACCCAGAAAGGTAAGCCAAACAAATTGATACATACCAGATGGGATGGACAGGTGCTGAAGCGCTCCAGAGGCTGCTCATCAAAAGCTGCGCCTTTTGTACCATGGATGTACGAGTGGAGTACATGTCGCTTTCATTTGCCTGCAACTTGCAAACAACAGGGCACACAAAACAGGACAGCTAACACTTCCTTCACAACTGCAAGCGCAACATAATCCAAGTACAATCTTCAGTTTTGTGAGCGCCTGACCTTTCTCTCCTGAGCTCCAGAGACACACAACAGTTGCTACATAACCTTTTTCCCTCACAACTGCAAACCCAACATAAGTTCATCTTCCGTCTTGCAAATTTGCCTAATTTGCTGCCAGCCATACCCACACCCATGGGCTTGCTGCAATGCGTGTGTGGCATTTAAGAGAAGCTTTTGAGAAGGCAATTAAATACAACCATGCAAACATTGCTAAATCCTTGAACCAAGCATGATGTGACAACCGGGACGAGGAAAAATATGAGGATGAGTTCTAGGAAGTGCATTAACATGCTGTACTGCCACCTAGTTCACTTGCCACCCTGTTTGTCACCACTCTAGCAATGTCATATTTTTCATTGATGTCGTCAGGTTGTAGAAGGGGAAGATCTTGAGGAATGATTGGACACGTTTTGGCAGACATGGCACTTTAAGATGTCTCTTACCAGATGCAATGGAAGGGAACGAAAGCGCGCCACAGGCTGCAAATCAATGGCTTTGCCTCTTGGACTTAGGTTGGTGGCAATTCCCACACCATTGTGCCTCTCCTGCAAGTAATCAATGGCATACAATTGACATTTCAGCTGCAAATCTGCGGAAGGTGACAAAAAAACTCAATGTCACATGTGTTTGACTGCCTCGCACTGAAAGTCACACCCACAAAAGAGCACAGCTGGCTGACACGGGGCAGATTTCTTGCATCAACCAATGTATGATGCACCGGTTGAAGCAAGGGAAACAGGAGAAAGGGCATGAGCAGCGCAAGGCAAACATCAGCATGCACTGTCCCCCAATTCACTTGCCATTCTGTCTGTTGTTTTTCTTGCAGTGTCGTGTTTTTTCATTTTGCACGCGCGGGCATTGTGCAGGAGGGTGATGCTTCCAAGGTATTGCGCGAATGGAAGCTCCTTCCCATCCTTTGTGAGCCGGGGAGGGAAATAACATGGAGAGCGAGTCAAATGAAAGCCCATGGCAAGGCCTCAGGCAAACCACTCCAAATCAAATGCAATTTATCATGAAACACTCTCACCGTGGAGCCCATGCTTCTTGCTTGCACAAGTCTGTTGAATGTGTCCTTATCGGGAGGAGCAGGGACCAGGTTTTGGGCTTATTGCTTGACAGTGAGCAGACAGACATGCACCGC